TGCTTGGAAAACCGATGCCAACCAAAAAATTAGCCATCCAATTGACGAGAACCGCGATGGACATGGCGGCCGGTCTGGGACCTTGCGAGAACAGTTCCGCCGTGATCATCCAGGGTATCGATCCGGGTCCTACCGCGAAGAACACGACGAAGCTTAGCGTCGACACCACCGACAGGTAGGACATCCAGTCGATCATTTCCTGCACATAGCCGAAGAACTCCTATCAGGCAGTAGAATCGTGTTCTTCTTTCCTGAGCAGCTGGAGGAGCCTCAGGTGGAAGGAAACGGAATCGTAATACGGCAAGCCAACTCAAAGTCGAGAACTCATATGCGAATCGGAAACGATACATGTACATAGGCGCACAAAAAAAAATATATATATATATAATATAATGTAATATAATAAATAGATAATATATACGGGCATGCGGTGCGCAGCTCAATCCTGTGTACGTAAGGCATTGCGACGTGATTGCGGCGGAGTATCTCGTACGTAATAGTGACGGTGCCTAGTTATATTTACAGTACCGTTCTCTCGTCAAGCGGTGAAGAGCACGCTGAGATTCATGATGGGTGCCAGGATTCGCTTCGACCTCGAGTAGACAAAAAGACACGGCCGTCGTGTCGACGCGAAGGACGCGCACACACAGACACACCCCTCAAGAGAGAAGCGACGTCTCCTCCGACCTTCCGCTCGCGGAAGATTCGCCGTACTCTCTCGCGATTACGACGGTGACGAAACGACGCGAACGACGGACTGCTTATCGCGATCGTTAACATGAGCGCGAAACACTGATCGAAACATCGCTTCAGCTTTCAGTTTCCCCCTGCGAAAGCGTCGAGTCCGGACTGAAGAGCCTCTCTCTTCCTTTTGCTTTCGGTTCACGTGGTTAAGGGAGAAATTGCTTTAGCACACTGGAGCGCACTTTTAGCACTCGAGAGCGTACGTTAGTAGAAAACTGTCGATCATTGATACGTAACGGTATCGATATGACACACAGAGCGACAGGTTTGAGCCAAGTATAGAACACAGGCTGATTAATATATAACGGGAAGTATATAAACGTCTCCTCCAGACAGTCACGAAAGAGGTCGTCGGTGATGAAGGGAGGGAAGGGAAGCGGATTTACAAAAAGCGAAACTACCGGTTTGAAGCCGAGGGGTAAAAATGAACAAAGCAGCGTGCGATATGCGCGATGCGCGCGCGACACCATCCTCGCGCGTCCTCCTCCCGAGTCTTTTCGCGCTGCTGATGTCATCCTGGCCGTCGTGGTTGCCGACGGCGAGGCGAGGCCGCTCGGAAGCGGTCGTTGAGATTATCGTTAAGATAATTGCTCGCTCTGGAAAATACCTGGCGAGGAGATCGCCGTCTCGGGAGAATCAACGCGCGAGGAGGTGCCGCGCGATGCGCGTCGCGACGCGGCGGAATCCCTCTACGAGGCAAACGAAAAGAACGGCATGCGGGCGGAGGACGTACTTATAAGATACATGAATGGCGGGGAGAAATTAACATGAGTCGACTGAGTGATGCAGAGTCCGTACAAGAGGTATCACTTGTGATATTCTCACTGTCGGTGCAGTGCCGCACTCCAGCTGTGAACAAAGTGTTAAGTACACCTTTCGCCGAGGTGCATAGAGTGTCGAAAGCACAGATAAGTAGCTATGTACAGAGATTCACGTTCCCCACTCTCCCTCCACCTCCGGGAAATGCGACTTCGCCGGGTGAAGGAAGAAAGAAAAGCGCAAGAAGTTTTCTCACAGCGGGCTCGCGGAGACAGGCGTAAGAAAAGAAAGAGAGAGAGAGAGAGAGAGAGAGAGAGAGAGATACTTGATAATAAATCATATAATCGGGATCTTCCGTAACTCTTTTCCGAATGACGCGCGTTATAATAATTAAATAATTATCGCGCGTTGCATCTCCGCCGATGTGGAATATTACGCGGAATGTGTGACGCGTATTAATTATCTTATTGAGTTCATCAATTTCAATCAAATTGCCGGACAATGGGCGTCGGCGGACGAGTTTCCCCACCGCGAATCGATAATGTTAAATATTCGTGAGCGTTTCCTCAAATAATGTCAGCCGGAGCGGAGCGGCCGCAGGCGGGAAATTCCGCCCGACGGTGGTTAAGTCCTCCCGAGAAAGAGGAAATGTGCACGTAACGAGCGCGTCGCGTTATTTTACGCGCGTATCTACCCGATAGAGAGTCGACGCGCGTCGGAACTCCAACTCACCTTTATGAGAAACGAAATTGTGATGAATATTGAAAAGATAAACATGCCACCGAGGCCATACAAGTGCAATGTACGCCTTCCTGTCCTATCCATGAGCGGGATGGACACTAGCGTCATACAAACCATGATGGCACCTATGCCAATGGTTGCAAACTTGGCACTCTCGTCCGTTAAACCAGAACTGGTGAACAGATTCGTGGAGTAATAAAATACCTGCAAGCACAATCGCCACGTGTCATTGGGACGCGTCGAGCGTCAAGGCTCCCCAAGGAGGAGGTAGACGCTAAAGATCCTTGCGAAGTACACACCGCGCGAAAGGGTACGTCCGTAAAATGGCGCTCGTAATCGACCGGGCGGATCTGTAAAACAACCCTCACTCACCCGCTTTCCTCTTGCCTGCCCTCCAGCAGAGTTAATAAATTACTATAAAATTCACGTGACACACGCAACCTACCTTCTTAACTTATCTTCCCTCATGATTCTGTCACGCGTTAACTTGACAGTTTCCTAATTAATTTATTTAATGACTGTCGCGCGCGCGCGCGCGGGGCAGTCGAGGAAAGTGCTTCGAACTGTTTTACCGAGCCGGCCGATCGATCGCACGAGTGTACGCGCGCGCGCTCGGCGAACATATCCGTCTGTTTTTGTACTCTTGCAAGGACGTTCAGCAGGAAACGGGAGCCTCTCTCGGCAAGGGCCTAGCGCGAAGGACTTAGCGCGGAGGAACGGTTTACTCACGGCATTGATACCCGAAAGCTGCTGCGAAAGTTGCATAACCACACCAATGACGAGAGGTGCTCTCAGAGTTGGGCTGCATATAAGCTCCGTCATCGAGATGGTAGACTCGGCTTGTTGAGCTCGTTCCTCCGCTCTCATCTCCTCAATGTCTTCTTCCACTTGGTTACTGGCTCTCAACCTTCTCAAAGCTTTCCGAGCCTCTTCCTCCCACTGTTTAGTAATGAGCAAATATCTGAAACCGCAACAATCGCCGGCGTCAGTCAGTCAGTCAGTCAGTCAGTCAGTCAGTCAGTCAGTCACTCGGCACGTCTCGAGGAGCGCGCGCGGAGCGGAGCGAAGCGGAACGGAGCGAAGCTCGAGCCTCGAGAGGACTCGAGTCTGATTGACCCGTTGAAATGATCGTCCTCACCTCGGAGATTCCGGGCAAACTGGAAGCAGCAGTAACTGTAGAATGGCAGGACAGATAGCTAGTCCTAAGAGAACGGGCCAACCATCGTTCGTTCCAAGAATCTGCTCGATGCCCAGCACCTGGGAGACCAGGAGGCCCACCGTAACAGCGAGCTGGTTCACCGTGCCTAGGCCGCCTCTCAGGTTCAATGGCGCTATTTCCGATATGTACATGGGAACCAACGAGGTGTTCAAGCCACAATTGACACCGATGATGAAACGTCCGAAGAACAGCATCTCGTATGACTCAGCGAGCTTGGTGAAACCCATCAGGCATGCCCCCACGATGCCCAGCACGTTGTTTAGCAGTAAGCCTCCCTTTCTGCCGTTCGGAAAAGGCAAAAGGTCACAATTAATTTCTGGCAGCTGATTGTTCGACCGATTCTCCGGATTACGATTTCCAAATTACGGGGAGGGGGTAATGTTTTTGTCTCGCTGTTGAATATCTCTCCGACACCTTCAATGTACGCTTTCTGTGTACGAAGGTCTTTCTTTGTTGATAGCTGCTATAAATAGCGGGCTGCATTGAAAGCGTTAATGAGAGAATAATTGCAGAAATGTTACACAGAGATGTGTAACTTTCTGAAGAAAGGAAAGCCCAGAGACAAAGAACGCACTCGCATACACGGGGTGTCCGAGAAGTGAGAGATTACGTTTTAAACGTGCCCAGGCTTCCGGTCTGCCGGTCTGCCGGTCTGCCGGCAGAATTTGGAACACGCGCCGTTTGTGCGCAGAGTCTCTCAAATGAATAATCAATTAGATTTACAATTAATTAATAATGGATTTTTCGGTCGCCCCGTGTACGCGCTACAGCGTTGCTCGTGGTCGGGAAAAACGCGCAAGAGGAATTCTCGCAAGACTGTGAGGACATTGTAATTTGGAAAGCGCACGCTCTGGACCGACCTGAGATCGGCTTAAGGGCGACTCGGTCGATCTAGTGAGCCTGCCACCAACCTGCCAAATCTGTTGGCAATTATCCCGCCACTGAAGCCACCTAGCATACCACCGATCGCAAATATGCTCACGGCCACGGAGTACAATTTCTTGACAGAATCATCCGAAATGTCTTCCCCGTACCTATCCTTGTACACGTCTTTCATAAAGTTCTCTATATTCTGCAAGAAAGTTCCAGCGCGATGAATTATACGGGACGAGAGGGAGACCTCGGGCGTGTATATATATAAAGTCTAGTTATGACAATTATTCGAGACGCGTACGCCGCGTCTCGTCAACGTTAAAGGGCGTACCACTTCAGGCGCGTTAATCACTCCAGTGTTGTATCCGAACTGCAACATTCCCAAGACGGCAGCCAGTATCGAGTACGACAGGAAAACCGTCAGACCCTGCAAGCATTCGAATGCGAATTTCGTTTACAATTCTACGTGAGAGAGAGAGAGAGAGAGAGAGAGAGAGAGAGAGAGAGAGAGAGAGAGAGAGAGAGAGAGAGGGAGAGAGAGAGAGAGAGAAAAATCGCGCGGGATGCGATTTTCCCGTCCGTGCGAAAGAGACGTGGTGCACGTGCCAAAAATATATGCTCGAGAAAGAAATAACGGGAGGGAAGGAAGCATGTAGAAGGGTGCGCGCGAACGTGACGCGAAAGGGTGTCGTGAAAGAGAGCGGGAGGTTATCGTGAAATCAAATAAAAGTACGAAAACATAAAGATTGTTTGGCAAACTTTTATTAACTGCTTCGCGTTAACACGCGCACACGCATACGCATACACACACACACACACACACACACACACACACACACACACACGCTCCCGGAACGTAAAAGTCGCAGGCATCAATGAGCAGATGATTAAAGCGCACGGCGATGTGACCGAGCAATTGAAGAAAAGTATTCGCATTCTCAATCTAAAAACAGAAGAAAACGAGTGAAAATAAAAAGAAAGACAGAAGCGAGAAACGGCGTTGCTCGGAAATGGAGAATCACCTGCTCCAAGAGCCTAAGTTTCCGCCGGTGGGAGTGCTCTTCCAGTCGATCCACGTACTCCCGCAATTCTTCTATCTCTTCCTTAACCTGTTGTACCGTATCTAGTTCGTGCTGCGCGCAAAAAAAACATACCTTAGACACCTCGCATACATACCAATCGCGCGATTCTTGCTTGAGCGAGAGGCAAGAACATTATACTGCTCGTCGCTCGACGATCTCGCGCGAGAGAGCAAATTTTCCGCGCGATTCTGATCCTCCGCTCGATTACTTTCTTTTTCTTTTTTTTTTTCTTTTCTTTCAACACCGTTCAACCGAATGCCGAGCAAAGAGTGGGCGATATTTCATCGCGAAGAGGGCAGCAGCCACGAACTTCTCATCGGGACGATTCGAACGGGAGACGGCTCGATCGGCTTTAGAAGGGAGAGCGTACCTTGATCGCGACCATGTCCCGCTTCACCTCGCTGACTTCGCTCTGACAAGACTCTACGCTCTTCGTGAGCTCCTGCAGCTGCGTGCGGATCTCGCAGAGAGCGACGGTAGTCTCCAGCTGGCGGTCACCCCGCTGCTGCAGCTCGTCCAGCTTGGCATTCAAGTTCGAACTCATAACGCTGACCTGTTTCTGCAGACTGTCCCCACACACACACAATCGCAGCGTGAATCTCGCTGATTCGGTACGGTAGAGCGGATCGACATATAGTCGAGCATATTGGCACTAGACAAATCAAGGCTAGCTATGCCTAAGTCCCTAAGGTAAGAGTCCAACTACCTCCGCGCTTAACTGCCGAGCTTCTTCGCCGAGCGAGCGTTTATTAAGCCGCCGCGCGCGGCTTTTCTCGCGCCTGCTCGCTTTATCCGCTTATGCCGCGTATATTCTACTTTCGCGGATCGTCGCCGTCGCGCGAACATGCACGAGACGTGCGAGGAGACGTGTAGAGGTGCGCGACGTTGAGAAAAAAACGATTCAACAGGTGCAACGGGACACCTTTAGCCCGAGCGCCCGAGAGAGAGAGAGAGAGAGAGAGAGAGAGAGCGCTCGAAAGCGCGACGAGAGCCAGCGTTAGAGCTCGGCAGCCATGGGAACGTTGGTTTGGACGTGCATATGTGTGTATACACATATACACGTGTATGTGTATGTGTGTATGTGTATACATATATATGTATATACACAATATATGGCACGTGTAAACAGACAGATATATATATGTACAATCGGCTCTCTCTCTATTTTATATATATATATATATATATATACATATATATATATAATATATATTGATATAGAGTAAGTATATATATAAATATATATATATATATATTTTTTTTTTCTTTTCTTTTATATATTTATATATATAATGTCACAAGTTGCAGAGAAAAACAACAGCAGACAAAATACAAACGCCACTAAAAGCACGTCTAAATGTGTGTGGTGAGTGTGAGGGTGACAGACACTACAGTGATATATAATAATATATATATATAGTACATATGAATATAAATATATTCTTCGTAGCTGTGCACACACAGATTAGATGGAAGTTTGTGAATTCGCTTGTGTGTAGAGATACATATATACATATATATATTATATAATATATGAAAGTGCCTTTTTCTTTTGCTATATCTCTCGCAAATGTATATTTCTCTCTTTGATCGAGACAATGCCGGAACATGACGACACGGCGCTACGTCCGTGATATACATATATATATATATAGTCTTATGATCCCGCGAACCTAACCATATCGCCTGTCGGAGCGTTGGAAATTTTTTTTCCTCCCTCGGTGTATACGATCATTCTATGCGGCACGATGCGGGAATGTGCAAGTGAGAGTGAATAATGGCTGATCACACGCACGCACTCGACAAAAGTACAAAAGACGTGTGACGGAGGACCATATGAGACTCTTTCGAACGACTGACGGTGAATTAGCAAACTCATCGATCGATGTGCACAGCCAAGCAGAAAGGGTGACTTAAGATGAGACTTAAGATGAGAATATAATGAAAAAAAAAAGAAAGAGAGAGAAAGAGAATTGTTCTAAAAATGTGTGATGAGCGACAGGTAAGTAGCAGAAATGAATGAGCGCATGAGTCGAAGGTGCGGGGAGAGATGAGACAGAAAAGTAGAAGAGACGGAGAGAAGAAGGTTCATGGGTAGAGATAGCAGAGAGAGAGACAGAGAGAGAGAGAGAGAGAGAGAGAGAGAGAGAGAGAGAGAGAGAGAGAGACGGACGTATGTACACTTATCAAACAAAGGATTGCACCACCACCTGCCTGTCCGAGCGATTGGAGAAGGAGAGAGATCGGATGGACAGATGGATCGGAAAGAGAAAGAGAAGAGAGAGAGAGAGAGAGAGAGAGAGAGAGAGGAGGGAGATGAGAGGGGGAGGAAAAAAGAACCGAGGATCTAAAGCATTCAAGAGTCTCTATCGTGGGCACGCATTCGAGGGTGAGTGCATCTAGGGTTCTAAAATTCTGCATCCAAAAGAGATATCGACGTTCGTTCGTGATAATAATGATACCGAGCCAGTCGAGCGTAATCAATCGTGCTTCGGAGAAGAAGCGTGTAGTAGTTCCAAAAGTGGTACAAGACTATTTTTGATATGTGTACATATAATAGAGACACGGGGGAGAGAGAAAGATAGTGAAGAAAGAGAGAGAGAGAGAGAGAGAGAGGGGGAGAGAGAGAGAGAGAGAGAGAGATAAAAAAGAAAGAAACAAATGAAAGAGAGAGTGAGAGCAATGATGATGTTGTCATGTACCTGGGAGGTAGGGAGACCATGGCTGTGTTCCGAAACTACAGTAGCCTCTATGCCTCCCCACTCACTCCTCTTGATTCAGTATTTCGTCTTATTCTCACAGATCTATTTGTTCTTTGCTTTGTTCACGACATATGTACGTACGTTGGATTATCCACCAAATCCAATCAATTGACTCTGAACTGCTTGTTGTCAAGTGGGTCCACAACCAAAGGTGGAGGGGTAACGTGTGGCGGGAGGGGGTACAAGGCCCGACGACGCCCGCCCCTGCCTCTCTTATCTCACTCACTCTGTAAAACTTTACCTAGTTTGGAAACACAGTCGTGGTTCAGTCAAAATCATGTCATAATGATATATTCGCTCGCATTAGTAACCGTGACGTCCAATTCTTCTAAAAAGAGACGGAGCCGTCACGTGTGAAGAGAGTTTTCACACATCATCATGCGACGCACCGCCAGCTTACTCACCCCTGCCTAGCCGCCCGCGTCCACAAGCGAGCTTGCAATTTGAATGGCCCATCACTTTATGCGGAACGAACAGTCGGCAAAATAATTTACAAAAATCAGCATGACCTCATGAGTGATAAAGAATCAGACACGCACACAAATAAGTCACAGCGATGGCACATCGAGCAACAAGTAATGATACTTTTGCTATAGTAGTAATAGTAGTAGTAGTAGTAGTAGTAGTAGTAGTAGTAACAACAGAGTAAAGAACAGTGCGTAGTCTTACGTAGTCTTACGTGGATCTACGACACGCGCGGCCCTCGTCACTCTCGACGAGGCGGGAAAATCGTGCTCGTGAGATTGTTCTATCTGTGTTCACGCACACAAAAGTGAGAGCGATATCTGTAATACTCCAAATACAGTCTCTGAAACTCTTACGAAAATAAAATTACAAAAATCTCGAGTTTGAAAGAGAGAAAGACGGAGAGAGAGAGAGAGAGAGAGAGAGAGAGAAATAGAGAGGAAAATTGCGCGACGACAATTTCGAAAAGATGTCACTTTCGTTCCCCCGTGTCGAGACTCGAGAGAGGCGAATTTGGGTTTTCTTTGCACAATCGCGATTTTCGAAAATCTTTTCTCTCTCTCTCTCTCTCTCTCTCTCTCTCTTTCTCTTACGCGCCTGTTACCACGCGACACGTCATGTGGCAACTCGCGTTCCATCGCGCGAATCGGTCCCCGTCCGCGACTCTAATCAGCCGTGTCCTCGTGTACCATACAAGAGCCGGATATCCTCAACGGTTTTCCCGTCTTTGTTGTCAACGCCGCCGCGGGACTCTACGCACGCTGTGCTGCGCGGCTTATTTGTGCACCTGACTTCGAGAGGGACATGACTTCGAATGGAATGAGCAATCAGTGGTAAGCCTGCGAGCGCCGCAGCCAAAAAATTCAAGTAACCATAACAACGTATTCGGTAGTGTCTGATTATCGACTGTTTATGAGACCGAGAGTGTGTAGAGTATGTACAAGAATAGGTCTAGAGCGAGTGTGATTTATGTATAAATGATGAATGGCATGGCACAAAGCCTTGCATTGCATTCTCGGATACATAGAGAGTCTATATAGTATAAAACGATAAAGCGGGAAAAACGTCCGTTCTTCTTTCCTCCCTTTTCTTCGTTTCTTTTCTACTTTCTTTTTTTCTCGGTTCTTTTCCTTTTCCTTTTCTTTTTTTTTTTTAGTTTTCTTTCCGTCCGTTTCCTATATTCTATATTCTCCTCGCTTTTCTCTCTTCTGTTCTTTGTTCGGTAATTTTTTTTTTCGTTTTTTTCTTATTATTACTTTCGCCTTCCGCTTCCCCTCTTTTCTTTCGCTGTCTCATGTAATTGTCGCAACTAAAGGCACCGCCACTTAGGCCGGAATTACCTGGACGCATTTGCAACACAGTTAGGTTCTCGAGAGAACGATGTTTATGAAATGGTACGTCCTAAAGTCATTTTCGTCAGTAGCGAAGCTCATGATCGATAGCAAGTAAGCAAGTTATCGATTCGAATTGGCGGGAGGGAGGGGGGGAGGAATGGTGGGTGGGTGGGTGGGTGGGTTCGCGGGAGTCGGGGGAGGAAGGGGCTCGGCCGGAAGTTTCGGGGAGGGGGGAGGGGGAGTGCGCTTTAACAGCGGATAAAAGAGAGCGCGAGGAGTGTCCTCTTGATTGGTATGCAAGTCTCGAGAGCTCATACACGCTGTTCTAGCGGAGATACTAAGCTAAGTCACTCGTGAGAGATTCAAAGGACCGAGTCTCTCGTGACTGTTAATGTTAGCACGGTGGAGCCTCCATTACACGAACCGGCGGGCGGGCACGAGTGTGACATAACCGAATTCAGCCCGCGAGGGCGACGGAGGGTTCTCGGCACGTAGAGCGCGAGAATGACAAGTGGAGCCGTCCCCGCGTGTGTGCGACTCGCGTCGCGTCTCTGGCCTGGCTCTCGCGAGAGACTGCAACCGCCCGCGCGATCATTCGCGCGTAATTATTCTAGTCGCTCGACTCGAGTCGCGCGCGCGATCGCGGCAGGCGCCAAGTCCGAGATGACTCCGCGGGACGTCCGGTCGCGCGTCGATCCGTCGCGCGGCTGTCGGACGCGGGTGTCGAATAATGGCGACTCTATCATGCCACTCTTGAGATCTTGAGACACAGGTATAGAGACTAAGTAAACTCGCTACGCTTCACTCACGTCGTGAAAAGAGTAAAGTATGGTTTCTATACAAGACCCTAAGAAGAGGTCACTACGATGTGAAAGTCAATACAGAGAGAGAGAGAGAGAGAGAGAGAGAGAGAATTCTAAGAGGCTAGACTATGTTAGAATAATATTTCAAGAACAAATTCGTCCGCAGCATCCGCTCGCAAGGTCCGCAAGGAGTTGCTCTCCTCCACGGGCCCTCCGCGGCCGCTCGAGCCGCGGACGTCAGCCGCGAGAGCCACGAATCCGCTCCGTCCCACGCTCAACGCTTAGCGCGTTAACCCCTCGAATTCCGCCGGGCCATGGAGGAGCGCTTGACGCTTGCGTTCGTGCGAACGGGGGTGCGAGCATGGCAACAGAAATGTCCCGGACACCGGGACGGCCGAGCTCGGCCGCGAGCACGGCGCCGCGAGCCGTTCGGACGCGACGTCGACCGCGCGCGACGAACGCTCTCGACACGAACAAAGCGGCGGTTGTGTGTTACTCTACGTTAAGATGAACGAAAAAGAAGAAGGAGCAAGAGAGTCCGACAACAAGTAGCCCTACGAGAAGCGGCACGTCGCCGGCGCGCGGATTCTGCGGCCTGATCGCGGCGAGCAACGCGATCAAGTTTGCAACGGCCGGCAGACGCCGCGCCGGCGGGAGCTGGCCGTTAACTTCCACCGGCCCGCCGCCCGACCGGTTACGCCCGACAATCCAGATAATTCTTTGAGACATCGGTGGCGACGCCAATCGTCCTCGGCTAACTCGGCGGATTGTGCTTGAGACTTTGGCTTGTCGCGGAAGCCTCGTTGGTCTCCCAGGACCGCGCGCGCTCCGCTGCAGCCCGACAGCCGATCGCGATGCGAGTCCTGAGCGAGGACGGTAACGTAACCATCAACGGTAACGGACTAGGCGGACACATCCCCAGGGTGTGTGTATGTACGTGTCGTTCTTCTTTCCTCTTGCGACACCAATTTCGCGGCATTCCGCCGCGGCTTCTTCCGCGCAACCGCCGCGCGCGCGAGAGAGAGAGAGAGAGACCAACGAAGCTCGCGGATGGCCACCTGGTGTGTGTGTGTAGATGTAACGGGAGTTCCCTGCTCGGTTGTCTCGCGGTAACGCGGTAACAAAACTCCACGGCGGAGGTGTACAGCGACGTGGGCAAAAGAGACAGTGTCAGAGGGAGACAGGCAGTCGCAATCGCAGTCACAGTCGCGGTCGTAAGACTCAAGTCAAGAAGAAGAAGAAGAAGAACAGTGTCGTGAAACTCGTCCTCGTCGTCACTCACGGTCGTCATCCTTAAGCGTACGCGTGCGTGCGCGCACACAGCCGGAGAACGTACCTTACGAGCAACTCCCGTAGAGTGGCTTCATCGTCCTCCTGTACCTCTTCCTGCGTCTCATTACTGAACGAGCCGCGGCCAGGGTGATGATGGCGGTGCTGCCTAGCGGTCGTCCTGACCCCCGGCGGGTACTGGCCCGGCGGGTGCAGTCCGTGGTGATGGTGGTGGTAGTGCGCGGCGTTGGTGTTGGCCGAGTGCAAGTACCGGGCGACGGTGTTGCTGCTGCTGCTGCTCGCTCGCCCCCTGGTCAGCTTGAGGCCGGCAGCAGTAGCCGGCAGTACGGCGCCTGTACCGGGCTCCACGTGGCTCCTGCGCGCGGCATACTGCTCCTCCTCCACCCTGCCGATGACGGTCTGACGCGCGCCCGATGGCCGCTCGGCCGGTCCGCCGCGCGACTCCGCGCCGTTCCCCCGTCGGCTCCTGCCGGCGCTGCTCCTGCTGCTGCGACCGGTACCGCCGGCGCCGGCGACCTCTTCCCTGGCCGGCCTGCCGCTGCGCCACCAGGCCGAGCCGTTACCTCCGACCTGAGCCCCGAAGTCGAGTCTCCCCCTGCCACCGGCCTTCTCCTTGCCTCCGCCCGCCTCCTCTTCCTCTTCTTCTTCTTCCTCCTCCTCCTCCTCCTCCTCCTCCTCCTCCTCCTCCTCCTCCTCCTCCTCCTCCTCCCCCAGCGCCCCTCCGGCGGCGACACCAGTCGGCTCCGTATCCTGGGACCCCGAGAGGCCCGGGATCTCCTCGTAGAGACGCTCCGAATCCTGATCCGTCGACACTGTCGCGCTCTGCCACAACTGGTTTATTGGCTTGAAGCCGCGTGAATCGGCCATCGTTTAAGCTGCGTCCAAGGACAGACAGACACACGAAGCTGTGTGATCCGCGAGGTGTGTGTGTGTGTGTGTGATCTTCTTCCTCCTCTTTCTCTCGTATCTTTCCGTGTCCTTGCCCTCCTCCGTCCCGTTGGACGACCTGCTCGTCCAACGGGACGACGGGCTAAGTGACGACTACACACAGTGACGTCGTCGACAGGGGGCGGGGGGGGGGGGAGGGGAGAGTCAGCCGTCACCGGCTGACCCTCGCGCGCGCGTCGTCATGTCTCATCTCTAACCAGCTAACGAGACACGAGACCAAGGCGATACGAAAACCAAATTCGGAGCAACGTCGTGTGCATCGCGAGTGCGGTGGTGCGGCACTCTCGCGGGTGCAATTTGTGCAGCTGCAGCTGCTGCAGCAGCAGCAGCAGCAGCAGCGGCAACAGCAGCGGCAACGCGTCGAGTCTCGACTTGGTTAGATTCAATGTTGATGGCGATCGACGTCACCTTCCGCGCTTGATCTCTCTTCTCCCGTCGGGATGACCCGTGAAAGGCTCTTCCGTTCTCTTCAGGCGAATCAGCAAAAGTGTTTCTGACGACTGTTCCGGGAACGGTCGCTACTATTCGCCATTTCCAGCGACATTTTACTACAAACCGCAACCGAAATTGCGACCAACGTCCGATGGAAGAGCCTTTACGCGGTCGTGTTCCCAGGAAGCGCGCGTTCAAAGGGCGTCCCGTCGATGGTCGGCCATTTCGCGCGAGTGCAAGAGAACAAGAAGAAGCAGCCGCGAAGGGCAACGTCGCGACGGCGCATGCAAAATGTCGCAACTCGCGCGGCGAATTTTCCGTCCGCGCTCACCGACGCGACACGACACCACGTCGTGCTAAGGACGCGCTAAGGATAACTGAGAGACGGTATAGTGTTCGACTCGTTCCTCAGCTGCGATCCTGACCTAGTCCTAGGAAGTTGCTGCGCCCGTGGGATGTAGGGCTAAAGTCTCGTCGTTCCGGTCATTTGGACGAGCCGCTTAACTGACTGCTGCTGCTGCGCGCAGAAGAGACCGACACGCGCGGACACGGGAATTGTGAACGGCGCTGCCTTTGAGCGATTATTTATTGAGTGTAAATTGAATGATATTATTGACGAGAATTTAATAATGATTACAATTAAATTAAATGATTACGTTGAGAATTACGCCGCTCGCCCGAGGAATGACGAGTCGCGTCGCGAGGCAATTGACCGCAATTTACGCGATTCTTCCTTCTCTTTTTTCGCCAATGATTCGTGACAATCGCGCTCGTTCATCTCAATCAGTCGGCTGGTACGAGCCTCATATTTGTCTTACAAATACGTGTACGTTCGCTCTTACTCGAAATTTGTTACGTCATCGCTTATGTAAGCTTCGAATAAAACTGGACAGTCCGCCATGGCGGGTGTCTGTTGGAATGCCGTGGGAATGGCGAGCGTGCTGTCGTCGAAGGCGACGAAGCTCTCGCCGACGGCACATCTTACAAGTTGGCGGTTGACAACGAAATGTTTATTCGTCAAATCTGCGCTTTCGGACTGCTATTTCGGAGAAAGCGGAAATCGCGGACAAAGTCCCTCTCCGCGAATTAGGAAAATAAAATGCACAATTAAAAAGCCCAAAGTGTTGGCGAGCTTTCCAACAAACGTCCCCGAAAAGTCCAACAAGTCAACTCTCTGCAGCTGGTTTAACACGTACATTATTAATTTATTCTCACGACGAGGTTACTCGCCCGCTAATTGGGGCCATTCACCTCGCATAAAAGGGACGAACGGATAAAAAGCGAGGATACAACGCACCACCGTACGTAACGTATGCAGAGAGTTTGCGTCGCGAACAGTGATGGAGCTCTGTAATTTGTAAGGTCTGCTTTAGACGAGGCTTCATATTTTAAGAGGACAAATTACGGACCACGCCGGTCCACCTCTCGCGTCTCCTCGAAACTCGAGCCTCCCTTCGCGTAATGTTTCCCGACACATCGCGCTGGCGTCCTCCTCCTTTCCTCTCTTCTCCTCCACGCCAACGCGGCCCCACGGCCGGCGGTTCCTTCCGATTTCTCGAAAATCGCGCCTCCTCCGCTCTCGTCGTCTTCCTCCGGTCTCGTCGCTGCGCGCACGCGCGCGCGCGCGCGCGCGCGCAATGATCGATACCGTCGCCCGAGGACGTCGCGGATCCACCCCGGCCGAAACGTAATTTCATCTATCATAGATGAAGAAACACGGGACTCACCTTAAAGAATTCGCAAGCCATTGTGCCCGGCGATGATATATCACACCACGACGTTTCGTCTCGCACCTGCTCTCGCCTCGCCTCGGCGCGCTTCGCTCCGACCAGGAGGAGGAACAACGGACTCTCCGGCTCCGCGCGATCTATCGGCTATCGACGCTCGTTCCGTGACACGCACAAAGGACGAGGGCGTGGGTGGGCAAGGGGTGCAGGGGGGAGGGAAGGAGGGAGGGGGGACGGCGAAACAACACGGTGGAAGAGGGTGTCGTCGCGGGACACGCGGCGGCTGTGGTCACGGGCACGGAGACGCGTGAATGAGAGAGAGAGAGAGAGACGGAGATTTCCACGCCGCGGGATTTCCACCGCCGCGTTGCGTCTAACGACGTGACGCACTAACGTAATCGTGTTTTCAGAGGCGCCCCTTCCCTCCGATCGATTGGGCCTGTATTGGACTCGATGCGAGACGATGACGACGAGTACTGGAGACCTGCAACAAACGGGAGAGAATTATTAGCGTTGTCGGCGCGCGACTCCCATGAGACGCACAGAGTGTATACAGGGTATTTCAGAAGAAGGTTGCCCTGGCTACATACTGGAGGGTCATGAATTTTTTAAATGGGAACCTCCATTTTTTATTTCATCATATTTTTCTTCTCTCTTCCGATCAGTTTGGAGAGAGAGAGAGAGAGAGAGAGAGAGAGAGAGAGAGAGAGAGAGAGAGAGAACAACTTTGGTTTGAAACATTTTTTACTTGCCTAATATTTTTTGAGATATTTAAGGAAAATCCTTCAAAAAGTCATCAAGTTAACAAAAATTTGGGCAGTGTTGTAACAACAGTTCTTGAGACCAAATAAAGTAAAAAAAGTATAGTAGCCCCTCCCACACTTTTTCTCCCGACAAATGGTTATCGAGATACATCGTAAGCCAAATATTGAAAAAATTATCAAGTTTTCTTTAAATATTTCGAAAAATATTAGGTAAATAAAAAAATATTTCAAACAAAAGTTGTTCAAATTAATTGATAGAAAAAGGTAATATGAAATAAAAGATGGGAGTTTCCGTTTAAAAAATTCAACGTGACTTCCCCGTAACGCTTGATAACGCTGTTCAAAGTCATACTAGTGTTATTATGTGATGCGTCGCTTAAGACACTGCAACTTCTGTATTTAACATTTCTTTATCTTACATATTTTTAAATTTATTCAAGTGACCTACTTTAGATGCTTCACTCTATACACTTTTGTATTTTATGTACGGTTTTATGGCGAAATAAGCTTAAGTATGTGTAAGCTTTTGTCTTGTATTACGCGCTACGATGAGTCGGCGATGTTGGATTTTCCTGATATCTGCAAGTTATTTCGAAATAACACTGATAACAAGACATGACTATCAATCACATTTTTCTGATTCCATAGATTTCATGGATCAGTTCCGCTTGATAAGTGTTGCTTCAGGACAAACGTTACTCTGAGGAAGCTTCTCATCAGCCGTCTCAGAAGGTCTCAGTATGATGTACGTAATATTGCAGAACGCGGATTATTTTATAGGATACGAAGATAAATAAATAAATAAATAAATAAAAAATAAAATAAAATAAAAAATAAATAAATAAAAAATAAAATAAAATAAAAAATAAATAAATAAAAAATAAAATAAAATAAAAAATAAATAAATAAAAAATAAATAAATACTCGTCGTATTCCTGGACTGTTTGCACCGTTGACCCGTGTTTTTCTTACTGCACGTACCGGTTTTTGGAAGCGACAAACGTATGCGCGGTCTGATATCAGAATATCTCGTGCCGTAATGATATGTTATCGACAGCTATTAGGTATTATCGTTTCTGTTGTTCAACGATTAGCGACTAGCGACTAGTAACGTTGCTCGTACGTGTCATTTATTTCCACGCGCGCGGCTGTGGAGTTCATCAAGAGGACGAGAGATGACACTTGGAGATGAAAAATTTTCTCGAGTCCCGAAGCAACCGTTTATCTTATGTTCACAAAACCGTCGTGTTTTTCAATGTAATTTGCAAATATCAGGAAATGTCGACCCGCGGCGCGTAATACGTCCTCCTCTGTGAAGTGAAGATCTTTCCGTAGCTGATAAGAGGCGTAAAACACACCAAGGTGATACATGTGCTGGCTTTCTTTGCCCAAATTCTGGTCAAAAGCAGTAAGCAAATCGACCAATCACAATCGAAATTTAAGGACGCCATTTTAAAACTTACGAGAATAATTGATTGTGATTGTCAGTTTCTTTACTGCTTACGTCTTATTGCTTACGTTAATTTGCGTGTGATGGCCTTAAGCTAATCGACGATCAACTCAGCCGGCAGAGCCAGCTGTATTTAACGTCGTTATCAGCCAAACTAATTAATCGCTCTATGCTGCTCGACCGAACTCTAATTGACTCTAATTGAGCTTTCCGAGATAAATGATAAAAGATAACTCGTCTCTGAAGCAAGCGAGAGAAAAAAAGCTTTCGTGCTCTCTCTCTCTCTCTCTTTCCAAGCTGTATTTAAAATTGCTACTAGTCAAACATTAATTGCTCGATTTTGCCGACGTACGCATTATCAACGTTCCCATTGTATTTTCAGGCCGCGGATTATTAATTGAAGATCAATTAGGGATTTGTTATCGGCAATTTTCCGCCAATTAATCGTCGATTGGATTAATCGTTGGTTTGGAAAAAATAATCGTCCTGAACGCGCGTTTCCCCATTAGCGTCCCCTGCGCGATAATTGGGGATTGAATATCCTTCTCTCTGAATGGAGCGTGACGCTTTAGTGCTCGACTAAAGGATCGCGCTCGACACACTTGGACACGTGCGTCTTCGCGGACGTCCCGTCGCGCATCACCCGTCACGCGGATTCAAGGAATCGGGCTCGATAATCGGAGTCGCGACCGCGAGCCGCTCTGACAGCCGAGCGGAGCTCGGCTTAAATGTCAAGGAAAACAGCGGGCGCCGAAACTTTGGAGGAATCTAAAAACCGGCAGGAATGGCGGTTTTTAGACAGGAAGATTATATCCGCAGCGCACGATCCCGGCCATTGCGAAACTTTCTTCCGTGAAACGTGACTGAAACTTTTACGCGAAGGACGACAACGAGGAGGAGGAGGAGGAGGAGGAAGGAACGAACACAATAATTATACTGCAAATTGCACGTGCCCGTTAAACGGATGCGGTCCCGATCAGTTCGCGCGTATTTTCCGAAGCGACTGGAGCCGGAAAAGCTGGAGAAGTCGTCGACGATCGCATCAAGCCGAGCCGGACGCTCTCCCAGAGCCATCGATATAAAAATATCTGATATCTGATGGTATGATGCTCTTAATCATAAATCTAAAAATACATACACACACACACATCCAATTAAATCCGTTATACTAGCAGATGCAACAAACTCACAGCCCAAGAGACCAAAGCTCGAGAGACCCAACAAGAAACAAATTTTCCCGAACAGACGCTACTATGACGAACGTGCCACGCAAGTGGCTACCCGAGCAAAAAATTATTAGGGCCGTCCTCATGAAGCATAAGGCCTGGTCTACAATATGTGTTGTAAGCTGTAAGCCGTAAGAACTGACCAATTATAGCCGATTATTTTTGTAATAATCGACTGTGATCCGACAATAAGGCTCCAATAAGGTTGAAAGTAGGATGCTCTAAAAAGAGATTATTACCACACCAAGCACCGAGATGTATCTTTAAAGGCCCATCTACAATGGCTGCAAGAATAAGGTTCTAAGCGTAAACAGTAAGAAATAGACCAACCACAATCGATTATTATAAGAATAATCGATTATGGTTGGCCCATTTCTTACTACTTACGCTTACAATCTTATTCTTGCAGCCATTGTAGATGGGCCTTTAGAGATACCTTAGACTTTACGAAATAAGGTTTTCATAGGGAAAACTGAGAAGGGCCTTAGAAGGATTTTTTAGGGACGCCTTAGATTTAATAGATAAGGCTTTGATAGAGAAAGTTGAGAAGGGCTTTAGAAAGATTTATTTAGGATGTCTTAGATCTAATAAATAAAGCTTTGATAGAGGGAAAACTGATAAGGGCCTTAGAAGAATTTTTAGGGATGCCTTAGATTTGACGAAATAACGCTTTGACATGGAAAACTAATGTGGGCTTTAGAAGGATTATTTTAATAAGAGGATGCTTCAGATGTACAAAATCAAGTTTTGTTCTAAAAAATTAATAAGATTTAAAGCATGTAATAAAATTGTCATTTTAGTCAATTGTCAGTTTAGTATTGTTTTAGTAGATATGCTCAATCTGCTTCTTTTAAAGATTTCTCAATTATACTGTTAGTATTGGTATTGGTATTATTTGCATTGATGTGTTTTGCGATTCGCGCCCTCTTTGCATACCTCTAAGTACAGTCTTTGTTTATCTATGTTTTCTTTACCGACTGTGATGTCGTTTTGGTCTCGCATTTTTATATTTTGCAACTGTGTGTATGGTTATACCTCTCTTATAACGAACAGCATCCTTATAATTGGAATAATTGGTACCATTGGAATAATAATAAATGTTACTCTCTCAAGGCTTATCTACGCTTTATTAGTTACTTGTTAACTAACATATACCGCAATTAAAAATAAATTTTATTAGTTTCATTAGTTGCCATATTAGTCTCTTCCAAGGATTTTTCTAATATCGCCTTCGTTTTGAAATATAACAAACTTTAATGAAAATAGTAGCCGGATTTTTATGTGTAAAGAATACTATATTTTGAAGCAAAAGATTCTTATTGTATACTAACAAGGTTATAAAAAAATAAGGAAATTACAATCTAAATTTCTTGGAAATGAAGAGAACGGATATTTTTATTCAAGCAATAATAAAAATATTTCGACTCGCAATTGCAAGAGTGAATGTCTCACTCAAACTTAGAATGGATTTTAACTCCGTATCTTAGTATCACCCTATGAAGCCCTCTTGCCTTATAAAACCCCTATTAATATTTCCTT